TGTCCTTCTACAGAGTCTCTGAGACCAGGACCCTCCTCCACAGAGTCCAGACCACCTTCACTCAGCCGCTCCACGCTGGACTTTTTGTTCACTGGACTGGAGACTCTGCTGAGTTTTGTCAACTGAAATAATGTTTTTATTTAGTAACGTTGAGTTTATAGTTGTGATGTGACACTGATCAACTGATGATTATTATTTTTACAGTTTTTATTTTATTTCTACAAGTTTTCTTGATAAATCAATGTAAACATCAATTGTCTCTTAATCAAATTATTTTTCTCTCATAAAGGTTTGGTTCAGACTGTTTGAAGCAGAAAATACATTTATTTAGTTTGTCAATAATAATTTGTGAACTTTATTATTTACTTTGTAGAAATGTTTTATTTCAGACGACAGTAACAAAACAAAATATGTTAATGAGAATAATAAAATAAAAATTGTCAACAAAAATTAATGAAAGGACTTTTCAAGTTTTTTGTCTTTTTACCTGTGAAACAAACTGAGAGCAACATTTGTTGACAGATGAATTTAATAAATACGTTTTTGTTTTTAGTTGACCTGAAGATCATCTTTTAATTAAGAATCAACCTGTTGACACTTTCTGCAGGAGATCCAGAGACTGTTCAAAGGATGAAGTTCATCATGACTTCATCATTAGTTCATCATGAGTTCGTCATGTGATGCTGGATAAGATCAGACATCAGTTTCAGCTTCATTCAGCAATCAATAAATAAAAACACTCTGCTGCATCACATTACAGATAAAAACAGTTACTACACAAACTGGTTGACTCATCCTAAATGACACAATTTTTGACAAAAATAAATGGGATGTTAAAGAGTTGGTAGGAACAGATACACAATGGCAGGTCAAGAATCACATGTTAAAATATAAATAGTATCAAATGAAAACTATTTAATTTGAACAATTCATTTATGGAAATGAGGAAAGTCCTCTTGTAGTCTAGGCTGAAGAAAACATGACAAGTCGACCCTAATTATAGGATTTATCAAAAAAAGAAACCTTTAACTATGTTGGCAGAATTGCATAAAGCAATATACAATTTTTGTTTTTTTACAAAACAACATAAAACAGCAAAATGTAGTGCATAACTTCCTTTCCACTGTCGCCTTCATGCTTGCTCAAGATGAGAGTTCTGCGATGGAGTTACATTCAAAGCAGTCTGCTCCTCAGATAAATAATGTTAAATTATTATTTTTATATATGAACGTTTCTGTTAAATCAATATTTTTATATATGAATGTTTTTGTTCAGTGCCCTGAGATGACTTCTGTTGCGACTTGGTGCGATATAAATAAACCAAATTGAATTTTAACGTTTTATGTTTAGAAAACTAAACTTTTTTTTTTTTTGTTGTTGTTGTTTTAAATATATACATCTGGCACAATTAAAGTTGAATAACAAACTGAAGCTGTAACTCTTCCATGAAACCACCAGGAGGTATCACTCCGCCAACCGTCGGCTGTCGAGCCAGCTGCGGACTACATTTCCCAAAGTTCATTGCGCATTCTCGTCTACAAGCTACTTTCATCCTTTGAGCTAGCACAGAGGAAATAGATGATTTGTCTGCTTCTCCGAAGCTGATGTCTCATATTAACTGGCACAACAGTTTCAACTTTTTATTTACAAACGATAAAACCGTCACTGTGCGACTTTTCGAGGTAAGAATTGTAACAAAGACGGTAAAGAACGGGATAAATTTTGACTTTTGCATCGCTATCTTGCTAGCTTGTTGTCAAATAGCGACGCGGGTAAACAGCGTCGCAGTTGTTCTGTTTACTTTACGTTCTTGTTGTTTTCTTGTGTACTTGGGTAAACCGGTCGTGTGCGTGTCAAAGAATACTCAGATGTTTGTTTTACGGTAGTTGTTGGCCTTTTCAGCCTCAGCCAGGCGGGTGTTGTTGCTTTTTGTAGCGATGAATGTTTTTCCTGTGAAGCTGCTGATGCAGCGAAGCCTAAATGTTTTTATTTTATCACTCTTAGACTGAGTTTGAGACTTTAGCTTTTATCTGTTGTACTATTTAAGGTTTCTGATTACCTGTTGGTTAAACTGTCTTCATGGCACCCTGACTCGTTTTAAATCACCTGTACAGGTGTAAATCCCTGATCAGACTACTGTTGTAACAACACCGATTGATTAGAATATAATGAACTTCATGTCCACAAATGGCGTGACGAATGGTAATTAAACTAAATACACCCTGCAGTTGCTGGTACTGTCCGTCTGAGAAACATAATAAAGTATTTATCACATAAACACAGAACTTTTGTGACAGTTTTCCATATGAAAAGCCTTTATTTAAGCTGTTGATGTTTGTATTTATCATCTTAATGTGTTATCTTGGCCAAGACCAAGATTTATTTCTAAAAACTCCTGCAACAGAGTTATTATCCGTTTAATTGAAACGGTATCCATTGCTTTGCTGATCTTTTTTCTTCTTCCTTCTCAAAAAGCAAATTGACCGAACCAGTCAGCCATGAGCCTTTATTTCCTCTGCTGAGAAATTACCAGTAGACCAGAGCTGATTTCAGTGCAGACCAAGGCAGAAACAGTTTCAGTCAAGGGTTTAGACACACCTGTTCACACCAAATAATAGGCAGTTGATAAAAGCATTGCACGTTGGAGCCACATAGGTCTGAACTATTGGTGTCAAGTCTGGCACATCTGGAATAAAAACCCCAAAGCTCCACACAGCTGTTTGTAGAAAGTCAGCACAACGTATGGAAGTCATAAACCACTGGTTTAATCATTAACAATTGTAATGCTGAACTTCTGTCGTATAAAATTTGCTCACGTATGTACGAATAAAAAAAGTAATTTAGATACTCATTGCAAGCTATTAAAAGGTTACCCTGAACTACACCAAATAGTGCCAGCGTTAACCCCAGTAGTTTTCCAGATGTATTGATATGCAATTCTGAAATGTGGGTACACAATATAAACAAACACTTAGCTAAATCTGCCAAAACCGGAACGTTTGAGTCACCTGCATGATCTACGTTAGACCAGCTGACGTCCGTGGAGGTAAACGAAAGATGCAGAATCAGACAAGCGTGCAGGAGTGACGTTCTGCCTCCAGTGGAAAAGTTCAAATCTCTAATATGCAGGATTTACAATCTAAATGCAGGAACTTTAAAATATTTTACTTCCAATTAATGCTTAAAATGAAGACTTATATTAATGTGGTCAACGCTATGCATAATAAAATGGTAGATATATTAAAAAAAAAATCAAACTTTTCAAAGTTGTTACATTTCAGGGTTAAATGTTGTGTAGTTTAAATGTAGAAGCTCTGGGGTTTGAAGAGGAAGCTACAAACAGAAGATTTCATTTTCAGGGGAAGTGACAGTTTATGATACGAGTTTGGGAATATTTGATTATGGGTTTCATTATAATATTTTTTAATCGGCCTGACGTTGAAGTATGTTGCACGCAGATTAAGCTCAGGTGTCGAATTCTTTTAATCTGTGCGACTTACAAAGATTTGTTACTTTTTAATGATTAATTTAAAGCTGTATAGGGCTGAGTAAAATTGTATTCTTATGAATTAAACAAGAAATTAAACCTTTGTTTTTCTCAACGGTGAATAAATGAAAAATAATGGACAACAAAGTCTCCAGTCAAAGTTGGTTTTGGGATGAAGTTTAGTGTTTTTACTGATTTGCTCTGTATCAAAAGATGGTTGATGCAAAAGCACGCTTAGTTTCATGTCCTTACAAAACACGTGCCCTCATACGGTACCAGCGATATTTTATAAGTGTTTTAAAATTAAACTTGTTATACAACTTGTGGGAGTGGTGGTGCAGAGGTTAGAGAAGATGGGCCTGTGATTTGAAGGTCGCAGGTTCAACTCCCCGTACCGACAACATCAAAATGTGGGTGGGAAAGGTGAAACACCCACACCTGCCTCCACCCTCATTTGCCCGACTCTGGGCCCTCGAGCAAGGCCCCTAACCCCCACCATCTGCTCCCAATCAGGTGTCTCTAGAAAATGAGTTCTTGTGACTCCATTAGACCACGTGTATAAATAAATGTTAAATAAATACATGTTGAAGTAAGAGGGAGGGATGGTTGCAGTGAAGCTCAGGGCTGAGAGGTTTCTCACATGACAGAAAACAACACAACAGCCCAGTTGATGTTGGAAACACATGTTTTTCTCAACATGTTGCTGGTATTTTAATTTTTTTTTTAAAGGAAGAACAATGAGTGGAACCAAACACTGAACAGAGCTCCCATTGAACAACTTGACTGGTGACGCTGCCAGTTCTCTGACTAATGACGATTCGCCATCTCTAAACACCCGGAATAATTCCTGCGACAAAAACATGTTTAAACGTCTAAAACATACTGAAAGACTCTTTAGAAACTATTGATGGTATAGATTTTAAAAGCTCATTAATGCATGTAAGAAAAAGTCAAAACAGACTCTTTAACAAACTTTAAATGTAGTTCTCTGCATTTAGTTATCAAATTAAAATAGATTCATTTTGTAGATTGGATTAATGTTTGTGAACGGAATGTCTGGATTCTGGTTGTGCCCAGACAAAATTAAATATTAGAACATTTCACCGTGTTCTCAGGGAGTTTTATAGACTAAACTGTTATTATTGAACCTAAATATATGAAAAAATACTTTACTTCTTGCACTAATTTATTTAAATGTTTGGTTTTACTGAACATTAAAACACATTTTCCTCGGGGATTTTTTTCAGATTTCCAAAAGTTTAAGAATCAAATTAAATTGTTACTTTTTGTACGGACCCATATCAACAAGTACATGATTCTGCCAAATATCTTGTCTCTCTATTTTGAAAGATGTCATCATCTTAGAAGCCAGTTTTTAAAAAGTAAAGTATTAACTCTGATTTAAGTGTCATTATAAAACTTTCTGTCCTGAGTAAAGATGATTTTTCTGGTTCTTTGCTTAATCTTTTCTGCAGATGGTGTTTATTCAAACAAACTGAGTCCTCTCATCCCAAAAACCAGCTCCAATGAACACCGCACCTGCCTCTGAGGGCTCCTTCTGAACGCTGAGCGGTGGGCGGGCCTACCTGTCCAGGAGGCGTGGCCAGAGATGGAAAGTAGGTGCAGCAGCATCGATTCGCGGTTCACCGGCAGGGGGATCAACTCCATCAACTCCACACCCATCTCTGTCAGGGTGGAGTCGTACGAAGCTGCGGAGAAGAAGTGCATCTCGGACGTGAGGAGGACGTTCTGCCTCTTCGTCACCTTTGACCTCTTGTTCATCGCCTTGCTCTGGATCATCGAGCTCAACGTAAGACGTGTTTGTGAACACACTGCCTGCTTTCAAAGATCATGGAGTCTATTTTACACTATTATACCGGTGTCATGCATTTTAAAGGACTACACCTCAGCCAGAAATTAATTTTAAAGCTTTACAGAAACGTCACTTTTTATTCAAACTAGCCGATGAACAGTATAACCTCCATTTTATTTGGCTTTTTGTTCCATGTGTTGATTCACGCTGTGGCGGTTTTGAAAACGTTCCCTTTTTATGAACTGGTTTATGATTTTGCGCACCGTTAAGCATTAAAGCCAGTCTCACATTGGGCTGTGACTGTTGGAGACTTGTTGGCTACTCAAACCTGCAAGAAAGGACCAACTGATAATTGATCTGAGCAGCCATGTTTTGCACAGTACATTTTGAAAATCACAGCCTGTTTTATGTGCACAGTAATCCAGGCCGTGCACAGCTTTTTGTTGCCCACCTCCTCCTACCTTCTGATTTGTTTTATAGTTTATTCTGCTGAAGTACACGTTTGAAGCTGCGCAGGTTAGAACTTTTGTTTTGTGTAAGGTGACTAAAAAGTGTCAACAACAATTAAAGTTTGCAGCTGAGAGATTAGCTCACATTTGTTTTATAACTTCTGAAATCACTGCACATCATTTATAATTTCTGTCACCTTCAGCGCAACAAGTTTTTTTCCTCCTATTGTTACAAAGGTCATTTTTTGAATAAAACCACAAGAATTAGATCAAACTTGTTCATTTAAAAAGTTTAATAAAAATATCATTTAGCAAAATATATTTTTTATGAACAAAATAAAAAAGATGAAGTCCTTGATTAAAAAAAAAAACAGATCAAAGTACTTTATAGTTGACGGTGCTGTTGATGATTAACTTCAGCCACAGCAACACACGTTTATAATCAGGAGCTCTGGTTTTGTTCTGGCAGCTCTTCACAGTAATAAAGTGCACATTGAGCAGCAGACGGTGCCGTCTCAATCGGGTCCGGGTCGAACAGAAGTGGGTCAGATGCTGCAGGAGGGGCAGGTCACACAGCTGTAAAACAGATTGAGGAAGTTATTTTTTTTTACTGTAAAGGAATTTCCCACAATGATCCCGTCACAGCGAGCTCCATCTTCCACATAAGACCCAACCTCAGAGTGACGCAGTGTGTTTTTACTGTAACGGCATTTTTAAGGACTCGTCTCAGACGGCAAATCTGCTCAGATAGTTTTCTGTTGTTTAGGGAAGTTCTCTCCCCTCTTGACTGAAACGGTATTATTGTTACTAGTCTGTTCAGACTGGTGTTTGGGTTCAGAACAAGACCAGCAACATTTACAGGCAGACGTTCACATGGCCAGAGTAAAATGTTTTACTTTGTATAACCTTCGTTTTCAGGTTATTACAGATTCATCATCTCCTTCCTGGTGATTAAAGCAACAACTGAACAGAAACCAGCGCAACTTTTTATGAGTAGTTTTAATAATTGAATAGCATTTTATTTATAAGCACTTTAGATTATATTTTATCTACTAAATGCTGAGATTGTTTATTTATTTATTTTTTTTCATTTAGCTTTTATTTATACATATATTGTTGAGAGCTTAAGAGCACCAAGCTGCTCTGATTTGTTGTTAATTTGGTGTTTTTTTAGGACCTAACTTGTTGCTTAAAGTCCCAGCAAACCAAACCACCATATAACCTAAACCTTTATATACATATATATATATATATATATATATATATAGATATATATAT